ATTGCGACGTTTCAATGAAGTAAATGAAAAATAATTTCTGCAAGTTTTCTGACTTTCTATCTTAATTTATAATAACAGACTGAGAAACTCGATATGTAAATTTACATACTTTTATGCGTTCAAGAACGTGGAATTGTTCGTCATTGTAAGTGAGACTACGAGTGGCCCTGTCTCTCAACAAATGTTGCCATCCATCTCTCAAGCGATCGACTAAGGTTGCTGCTCTCTGACTTGCTTTCGTGGTCCACGGACACCACAAACCGCGAGTACTGTTGTCCCATTCCCCATGTAAATTGCCTTCTTTTACATACCTGCAATAATAATATAATAAATTTGTTTTTTATTGCTGCACTACAACTTTCCATCTCATTTTCTCCCAATTTCAAACATTAAGTTTTAACACAAAGAGTGTTTTCAAAATATATAATCGGTAGCTTAATGATATAAATATAATTAAATATAGGTCAACATTAGTTTAGCTGTAAAAGATAAGTCTTATATATTAGATTTCTTTTTAAGCTGCCAATTATACTTTGATTATAAAGAACTGAATGCTCATAAACAGGAAAGGAATCGAACTCTATCGATGAAATGTGTTTTTCAAATGTAGCAGTTATAGCTTTGCGTCTTTTAAGATGATTTACCTTTGATGGAGTTGCACTATTGCTGGAGTCAGTTCGCTCATAAGTTCCTTACTTTTCACGTCCAATTCCTTCCGCCAGTTTTTGACCTCCACCGCAGTTTGACCGCTGAACTTTCGGAACACGTGCCTGGCGAAAGTCTCACTCCTTTCTACCGCCAATACGGTATCCTCCACTGCTTTCGTGAATTCCTTCGAATGTTGACACTTCTCCAGCACTCGAGTAAGTTCTGTAGATAGAAGACCGCTAAATGCGTCTATGGCGTCTCGCGATAATTTGCTGCACAAGGCCAGTTTGTCGATTCTACGTTTACAAACATGTCCTACGGAGCACGCGACTTTGGCTTGGCTCGCGTCGTTCTCTACGGAAACGAGATTCGCGAAGACTGGAAATTTAGGCAGTTCGGTCTCCATCGGTAACACGACGTTGTTGTTCTCTCGTGAAAACAACATCAACGGTTTGTCGTTACTAGTATTGGGATATCCCTTGCCTGGTGTAGACTCTTCGATGAGATTCGTAAGAGGAATTTCTCCAAGCAGAAGAATCTGCGCGTGGGGCATGATCTCGGTCTGATCCTGAACGTGTATCTGCAGAGCGACTAGTTTCTCTTCCGGATGTAGAAAGACCTTAATCAAACTAGCTTTATGAATGTTAAATATATGGATGGGTTTCCTGCAAAGTGTGTCCGTGACCTCGCTAAAGAATCGCTCGAAGCTCCAGATTCTTTGCGGATCCACCTCCAGCAAACCGGCCAACAGTGGAGTCACTATCTTTTTCAGGCCTGTGCTTAGCTGGCAGGCTTGCGGCAATTCCCTGCTCCATTCGATCGGTCCGTTTTCTGAAGTCTGTAGCCCGGATATCACGCCTGATGCCTTCTTTGTGGTAATATAGAACATGGTCTCTTTATTCCTTCGCCCACCGAATGGCCTAAACGGTAAATTACCCGTCGCGACATGATAGAGAGTCACACCTATGGACCATAAATCAACCGTTGCCCCAAAGGTCTTGCCGACAGGTTTCCTCAGGACTGCACGTTCGTACATATCTGGATGTAGATACTCCTCGGTGCCGTATAGCGAAACAAACTGCTGATCCTCCTGCAATTCCCGAGCAGCCCCGAAATCAGTAAGTTTGTATATCGTACTGCCGTCGTCAGCGATGAATTTCATTATATTACCTGCGCGAACAAAAAGAAACAGAAGATGACTGAAAAACTCCAAATACAAAACACATAGTCTTAAAGTGCTGAAAATATAAATATAAGTAAACCAAGTCGCCTTAATTCTGAATAAAATCAAATGGAAAATTGTTTTGTAATTAAAAAAAATAAGCACAACTGATATAAAATAATAATGGCTGCATTCAGTAGAATGTTTATTTTGCAACTATTGTCAGTTTTATCCACACTCATTAGATTATACTTTTGCAACAAGAATATACAATAGGCAAAGGATGCTTTCCATTTGGTGACACAAGCATCATTTTATCTTTTTCGACATTCAGTGAGTAACAAAGATAAAATAACACTTATTGTTATCTGTATCTCCTAAAATGAAAAGATCCTTTCTGATATTCAATGAATAACAAGAAAACATGTATGTCAATTGTGTCTCCTAAAAAGAAAGCAGTCTATATTTGCATATATTATCCTGGATCTTCTACCTGGCTTCAAGTCTCGGTGAACCAAATTGTTGTCGCGCAGGTGCTTCATGCCAGCCGATAGGTGTTCTAATACTAGCAGGAACTCGCTCTCCGCGAGACCGTACGTATTCTCTGGATCATCCAGGATGTTAAAGAGACTGCCGCCAGTACAGAGTTCCATGACGATGACTTTTCCTCTGCCATCTTGCTCCTCCTCAATCGCCAGCAGCTTGACGATGTTCTCATGCTTGACCTTCTTCAGAACCTCGAACTCTCTCACCTGTACGTCATGCGGCCGCATGTGGCTCAGCTGATTGAAGGTCTTCACCGCGACTGGTTCCCCGTTGTTTTTGTTGACACCCTGGAACACCGCGCCGGTCGCGCCCTTGCCGAGCACGCTGGTGGTGCACCAGACATAGTTGGCGGATCCACGAAGGAAGGACATGTTATCCACGCGAGACTTCTGGATAAACCTGACTATCTCCGCTCACGTTGCGCGATCCTCTCGTGACGTCACAAACCGTACATTACCTTCCACGTTTCGATGGAAGCTCGTCGACGCATCTCCATTATAAAACTATTGATCTCTGAGAAGTATTTTAGACTAGAATATTAGGGACGACGTATTCGTGAACATGGAGAATGAAAATGTAGGTTTAAGTGGCATTAAAAGGAAGCATTTAGAATGACACGTTTACAAGCGGAGCGAGCAACCTAACCTATGCAAAAACGGAAAGTTTATTTACGTTGACGTTAGAGGTCTGTTCGCGTTGCTTGAAATTCCCAAAAATGGTTTGCACTTAAAAGGAGATAAATATATATGTATTCGGACGTTGGAGAGAGAGAGAGAGAGAGAGAGAGAGAGAAAGCGAGGATGATAAGTGCAAAAAATACAAGCAACTGAAGCAACCCGAACAGACCTATCAGCAGCTCTGGATTTGGACTTCAGAGTTTCGCGCTTTTACCGCTCGAGGTCTTTAGAAGCGATCCGGAGAGTTGATCCGTTACTCTGTCCTGTCGTAGAGCGTAGAAGAGGAAGAGAGATAGTGAGGAAAAGAAGAAGAAATTAGCCGAAACAAACCCGGCAAACTGCCTCTTTTCATCATGGAACTGACGGAGTTGGCGAAATACCTGGATAAGATCAATATCCCGCGTAAGGGCGACAGGATATACAAGGACGAGTGCGTTTACTCCTTCGACACGCCAGTAAGATTATTCTTCGTCCTTTGTTCCCCTTGCCGACGACACCTCCAGCGAGACTGTCGGGCGCGATCGTTATCAGTTCAAAAAATATGATATTTCTTCTTTGTCCAAGGATACAGCCACCGGCCTCTATGTCAACCTCACCACCTTCTTGGGCCTTGGACGGGAGCATGTTACCCGGTACTATGAGAACACCGGCAATCCCGTCTACCTTCATATTAAACGTATTAAGAAGGAGGTAATTTCTGTTTGTTTAGCATAAATTCATGAGACTTGTTCTTTTTAACTGAAATTCTTTTTTTACGATTTCTATTTTTACATTGGAGAGAAAGATGAACTGTACCAAAGAAATTCAGCTAAATAGAATAGGCTTATTATCTTGTTGAAGAGATCTTGACCTTTAAACTTGTTCTTTTTACGTTGAATTTTTTATATGGTTTATCTCTCTTCCTTTTCTTTCCAATTTGGAGAAAAAAAGAGAAGAGATGTATTGTTCCCAACATATTATTTCAGTTAACAAGAACAAGCTTTTTGCTTTGTATATGGAAGCTGATACAACATATTATTATTAACTCTAGGATTGCTAATAGTAAATATCTTGCTAAAATTGTCATTGTCAATTTTTCAATTTCTTATTCCTGTTTACGATTAGTGAAAAGTATTATTTTAGTATTATTTGTATTGTTAGAATTATATATTTGTATTATATTTATATATTTTCAATATTTTATATTATATGTCTAATACAATAAAGAAAAAACTTTAAATGATTGGCAGAGCCTGAAAGTGGCATCAACAGCAATTTTAGTGTTCATATAAATAGGATGTAATATATGATACGAATAGGAAAAACATTCTCTGTACAAAAGTTTTGTCGATAACAAGTTATATATCAATACTTATACATTAATCTTGTTATTTACATCGTTATTTGAAGTGCAGTCACGTTTGCGTTTAAATCAAAGCTTGATTTTTTTTAAATAATTGATAGACTCTATACATCGACAAGAAAGATTTGTTAGATATACTTTTACAGATATATTTTTACATAACCCTTTTTTTATACCTGATTTGAAAAATATCTGTAAATTTTTTTATAGATTTCACCTGAGGAACAGGGAGATGGACCTGAAAAAAAAATTACGCGACTGGCAATAGGGACAGTAGGTGGATTCATGCCTGATCAGCAGAAGTATATCTATGAAGAGACATATCAGATAGTCATTCTACCTGATTTCCTTACTATTGCTTATCCAGGGAGCGAGTTGCCTGAAAAGGTAGGATTTATCTGTGAGATTGTGTATTAGAGATTTTACTTTAAACTTTGGCCAAACGA